AAATCATCTTCAGCTGCAATCGATCTCATTGCTGCAAGTGTCACTGCCGGGGTCAACGCGCCAAACAAATACATAATTTTATTGTATTAATTGTGTCTTTGGTCTCTTCAGATTGAATTGTTTTTGCTCGAGACGTCGAAAAAAAAATCCTTATTTCTTTCTTTATTTTTTCTTCTGCACTTTAAGCCTTAATTTGACCCCCTGAACATGCATAAAAAGTTGTTAAATTTTGCCCAAAAATCAGACCTGGTGAAAAATTTGATATTTTGGTGTTTTTTGGGAATCAAAAAATGCCAGAACAGCGCCACCTACAACAGCCAAAATAATACCCCTATGGGAGTTTTGGAGATCAAGTTTTTCGTAGAGCCATGAAAAATGGAAAATGGAAAAATTAACAGCAAAAGTTTTCATACATGTCGGTTGGAAACTATCTACTCCTCGGCCGTTTCACCGATTCGCCTCAAAATCGCTTTACATCATCTCAACACATGTACCTTCAAACTGACTCAGGCGATTTTTTATTTCAGCCAATTTTGATCAGTAAAATGCTGTTTGAGCAGCGGAGCGCTAAAAAGTGGCGTATTTCTTTTCAGTTTTTGACAATAGAAAAATTGCTTCCGTTTGCACAAACAAAGTCCGATTTGCACAAAACTTGAATCCATGTTTCAACTCTAGGGTCTAGGGCAATTGAAAGTTACAATTTTGAAATTGGCTCTATAGCGCCACCTACAACAGCCAATTTAAACATGACTATGGGAGGGGTTCGAGGTAAAAATTGTCGTAGAGCCATGTCATTTGGTACACATGTTCCTCAAGTCAAGACATGAAAAAAATGTTATTATGGCTAAGCCCTTTGACAAACAGGAAGCCCATAAATTTCACTGCAAAATGGAAAAATGATCCGCAATAATTTTCATGTCGGTTGGAAATCTTCTCCTCCTCGGCCGTTTCACCGATTGGCCTCAAAATTGCTCCACATCATCTCAACACATCTACCTTCAAAATGAATTTTTGATTAGTGAAACGTTGTTTGAGCAGCGGAGCAGCAAAATGTGACCTGTTTTTTTTCATTTTTTACGATCGAAAAGTAGCTTCCATTTGCACAAGCAAAATCTGATTTGCACAAAACTTTATCACATTGTTTAACTCTAGGGTCTAGGTCATGTAAAAGGGAAATATTTGAAATTGGCCCCCTACAGACTGAGGCAAAGTTTTACATTGGAAGCCAAACCAACTCAACTCATTATATTCATAAAAAATTCACAAACATTCTTTTATGGCTACGGGACCAAATAATGGTGTGGCGGTGCGGCGCGGAGTGGTGCGGCTTGGTGTGGTGCGGCTTGGTGCGGGGCGGCATTGTGTGAGGCGGCATTGTGCGTGGCTGCGTGGTGAGAGGCGGCATGGTGCGGGGCGGCTTGGTGCAGGGAGGCGTGGTGCAGGGAGGCGTGGTGCAGGGAGGCGTGGTGCGGCACAATGTGGCGTGGTGCGGTGCGGCGAGGGCCGTTCGACGCCGCTTGTGGCTTTAATTTATAATATAGCTAGTTAGCACCTATCCACCTCTATGCTAAAGTCATTGATTTTGCATTAAAGGACAACGAAACACCAAATCAGTTTTTTTAACTCATAAACTGCACAAGTATGTTTCTTTTAGTGCTCTTTACATCTCTAGGTAATTTTTTTGACATTTTAGTGCAAATTAGATAAAATCTCATTTTTGAGCCTAAAAACGGCTGTGTGGCGCCCTCTCTACCTTTTTGGTGACACTATATTTGAATTTTGTGCCTGGCCTCTCCATTGGCTCTGGAGTACTGTGTGATCTCAGCTGGAACTGTGTGACGTGCGTCTCTCGGCGTCAGTGGTGTAAAACCATCCAAGTCTCACACAGCCCCAGCCGCAGGTTGGAGTATTCTTTCGACATTTAGTGGATACAAATGTAATTACATCAGTTGACAGCCACTGCTGCTGAGATTATTCTGTGGCTTAGGTTCAGGTGTGTAGCTCTACAATTATCTTAGTGTGTAAGCAAGGGTGGAATGAGTCTATCTGGTGTGTAAACTATTGCTTTAAGCAGCAATGACAACTGTCATTGTTTTTTTGAAGTGAGCTGTCAATCCCAGCCCAGACCTTGCCCAACTCTCTGCCCCTGTTCTTGTCCCTTGGTCCTCCAGGCAACGCCCTTTTTAGAGAAAATTTTCAAATGTTCATGCGAAGCAGTGGCTGCAGAGTCCAAGACACTGACGCGTTTTGTCACGTGCTTATATTAAAGATAAGATAAACTTTATCGATCTCACAATCAAGAAATTAACATGTCACATTTGCCATAGATAGAATCACTAAGATTCGGCAAAGAGACGGACGTGTGCTTTGATACGTGCTCCAAAGCAGTGTTTTGAAGCTTCTGCTTCGGGAAGAGCGACACATGCTCCGGAACCTTGCTTTTTTTGGTCCTTTTGGGCGACCGTGCGCTTGCCGGAATGGGGTTGGTAACCCTTGTCCAGGCGGCTACCATTGGCGCTTTTTGTCCTCTGCTGATCTCAAGGTGGCATAGTTTAAAAACAAAACTCTGTTGAGTTAAAATGCAATGTAACGCACATTACTGCCCTTTGTACCGAGTTAAATAACCCAGTTTTTTATTTGTAATGTCTTACATTACTGCGTTAAGCACAGAGATTACATTACTTTTGTAATATACATTACTCCCAACATTAGGTCTACAGCCTCAGCCCTGGTTCTACAGCCTCAGGGCTGGTTCTACTGTTATACGGCCTCTCTCAAAATGAGCCTCCCCGAGCTTCATCTATTTCTCCTACTGGGTATCCATCATTCCTTGCCAATGCCTTAGGGTCTAAGGAGAGTGATGATCCAGAACATTTATGCACATTTGCACACTTACAAACATGGGAATAACACCGTTGAAATAAACGGCGTTACTAACGTCGTTACTTTTTTCAGCAACGAGTAATCTAACTAATTAGTTTGACTGTAACTATAACGCTGTTATCATTGTTGACACCCTGTTACTGCACGTTACTCAAGTCGCACAATGAACTTTTTTTGCTTCATAATAGGACTCATGCGCATGTTGTCATGAGAAAAGGGAGGATGAGATAACCTCTCAGAATTATTGGCTGAAGTCTAGGAAGAGTACGTCTTCAGCCAATCAGAGAAATTGGGAAAGTGGGTGTCAGTGACGTGCGGCCAGATGAGGCAGGTGAGGCCTGGCCTCACAGCGTTCATGGAAAGAAAAAGAAAAAACATGGAAACAAGAATACTTGGTCACTATATCAAATGATTTGTGCTATTGTATTATTTCAATGTAACTTTGCCTTATTTAATTTATTTTTACCTTGAAATTGAAGATTTTTGTCATATTCTTCTCATATTTGACAGAGGCTGTGAGGCGAGCCTCTCTTGGGATACGTGAAAGCCCATAGCTCACTGTGGGAGAAGCCCATGCACTGCTATCGAACTGTTTTCTCTGTTGATCGCGGTTTACAAAGTTCAAACACATTTCCTTTACAATCTACATGTCTACAGTTGAGATGACAGGTCATAAATTGTATTTTTGACAACAAATATGGGTCTTAATCGCTCTCAACTACGGATTATAATGTCACCAAGTAAGGCCAGCCTCAGGGTAGGGGCCGCTTGTGAGCGCTGCAATGGATTCCATCAGAAAGCTCCTTTCCTGTTCTTCATCTGCTAAGGGTAGCCACAGGTTTGGTTAACGTACATAGAACACATTTTAAGATAATTTAAAATGCACATACCTTTTTCACACTTCCGTGTTTTAAACCGGATGTGGAGTAAAGCCACTTCCGGTGCCTATGCTTTACCGTTCAGAGACACCGTCAGTATGGCTCAATCTCTCCGCGCTAGATTTTGCTCTGTTCCTGGTTGCTCTTGTGGAGCAAGAAAATAACCCTATTTATCTTTTCATGCTTTCCCGACGGACCCGGACCGAAGAAGGCAGTGGATCCAAGCAGTTAGGAGAGACGAGGGTCCCCTGTTCTCCATAAAGACAGGGAGCACTTATGTATGCAGCCGGCACTTCACACCGGAGGATTATCTCACTGGATCGACCGTCAGCCGCCTTAAAAGTGGAGATGTTCCATCTCTATTCCCCTGGAATAATTTCATTGCACCACCTAAGAGGGAGTCAGCATTCCAGAAGGCTCAGAAACGTCAGCTTGTCCTTTCAGAGCAAGTTAGCCAGGCTGAAGCTGCCACTGCCGAACATGATTATGCGGCACATCCACCCCCAGGTAAATATCTAATTATATCAGTTATGTAAAATTTTTATTCTAGCATATTTCAGTCAATATTATAACTATGAAACAATAAATGCTCAGTGTCATTACATGTTTGTGGAACAAAATCAAAGGGTTTTAAATTAAAGCATTGTAAATAAAATACAATATGTAGGACTGTCTGTGTAATTGTATTTATAATTATATATATATATATATATATATATATATATATATATATATTACATTATGGTTAGACCTTTTTAAGGTATTTATAGCACTTATTTCTGGTTTTACAGGTGCGCTTGATAAAGCCCTTGAGACGATCAAGGAGTTGGAAGCCAGGCTGGAGAAGATGGATTTGTCTCCCAGCACACTTTTTAGTAGTTATTGCTTTTCTGATGACCAGATCCAGTTTTACACAAAATTCCCATCTAAGAGTGTGTTCAGGATCTTCTGGGAGTCCATTGCACCATCTGCATCCTGTCTAGTGTATGGACCAGAGCTCAGAAAATTGGAGATAAAGAAGTTGCTGAACCAAGCCCTGCACACCGCATGCCTCTTATTGATGAGTTTTTAATGTACTCATTCAGGGTTGCAGTGGGAATGAAGGAGCAGCTCATTGCTGACATGTTTAAAGTGAGCATTTCTACTGTCAGCCGAGTGACAATCACATGGGCCAACTACCTTTTCATTGTGTTCTCGTCAATTAACATGTGGATTAGTCGGGAGAAGGTGAAAGCCAGCATGCCTCATAGATTTGTGAAGCGCTCTCCAAATGTGCGTGTCATCCTGGACTGCACAGAAGTTGCTTTAGAGGGGGCATCATCACTAACTTTACAGTCTGAAACCTTCTCTGCGTACAAGAACCGCACCACTCAGAAAGGGCTGATCGGAGTTGCTCCCAATGGGTTGGTGACGTTTATATCACAGCTGTACACTGGCTGCATCTCCGACAAAGAGATCACTAAAATCAGTGGAATTCTTCCGCTGCTGGAGCCAGGAGATGAAGTCATGGCAGATAAGGGCTTCCTCATTCAAGACCTCCTTGATGAAGTTGGGGCCAAACTCACAATGCCACCTTTTCGACATCCTGGTCAGTTTAGCAAGAGAGAGACTGAGGAGACCCAAGCCATTGCTCGTCTGAGAATTATTGTCGAACAGGCAATAGCCAGAATCAAGCACTACCACATCTGGGATTCTCCTGTGCCAATCACTTTAATAGGAACCGTCAATCAGATCTGGCACAACTGTTGTGTTTTGGCTAATTATCAAGGCCATTTTGTTTGGAAGAATAAATGTTTCATCTAAATCTTCTATGTGTCTGTTTCAGTGTACATATTTTTTGAGATGTTTATTCCCCATTTTAAAACACACTTGGGCAGAATTCAGTATTTTTTGTTTTGTTATTGTGGCTTGATTGTGTTGCAAGGGAAAACAGGTGAAACAAATAGCAAGTGATAGTGGATTATGTTCAAAATGAAATATGTAATTCTCAAATCATTTCATTTGTAACAAAACAAGGCTGGACATATTTTGTATTAAGTCATACAGGAAATAAAATAAGCACATTAGTGTAGTTTTGGAAAACTTATACCTCATCAACTTGCTTTCAGCTGCAGGCACAGGTCATTAAGACTAAGCCAATTTCATGTTTTGTTTTGCTATGCATCTATTCAATTTTTGTGACAGATATTTACAATGATCAAAAAAAGGGAATGAACAAAAAAGGGGATTTGTGAATCATTAGTTACTGTGTTGCATTGACATAAACACATTCATAAAGGTGGTAAAGTAAAACATGTCCAATTTTGACTTCATCTGGTCAATGAAAGATTCATCCCGCCACACTCGCTCAACTGTTATAGTTGTGTGTCTGTGACAAAGTCGCACCATTCCAGCCCTGTGACTGCCAGCTGACCCTGTACTTGCCAGTAGTACGCATGTGAGCGCCTCACATTTGCAGAGCCATCCTAAACCTTAAAGACCTTATGACGGGTTTTAAAAAAAAAAATAGTGGATATCAAAATTGCATGACAATGTCAATTTGAAAGAGATTCCGGCAAAAAAAATCCTATATTTTATAAAAAGAACGTGTTTTTCATGAATTTAAGTTGTCTATGCTCTAACCTGTGTGTGACGTCATAGCGGGTTACGCCCATGCATTGAAAACCATGGATCTATGCCACAGGACTGCCTTTTCTCTCTTCTCTCCACTGATGCCCAACACAATACTGCACTCTACAGGTGACAATTGCTCACTACACATAAATTGCCGTTTTGAGTGTGAAAAAGTGTCCGAGGCAGGATTTGAACCCAAGTATCTGGATTGGCACTCCATCGACATAACCACTGGACTATCTCATTGACAACGAATCTCACATTCTAGTAGTTATTTCAGACTCGCTGTACACGGCCTTGTCATCTTGAATATCCGCGAAAAAAGAACGAATACCAAATTGTAAACAACTTACAACATTGAAACGTACCCGTTCTGACGTCACCAAGGGCTGTGAAGTTTTTTCGTTTCTAAGGGCGCTGCTATGGGGTTATTTCGATTTGGGGGGATCAGACAAAAAAAACAACAACTGATTTTGAAACCTTTAGTAGTTCTCTTCTAATATAAAATGGTATTAAAACTGTATTTCTAAATAAATCAAACCCGTCATAAGGTCTTTAAGGTGAGCCACCTGGGACACATCATTTTTGTTACTACATTTAACCTCTACCAGTCCAAATGGGGGTGATTCTGATGGGTCATACACCCTGCCATCAGGACTTGCCCCAAGATGTGGTGCCCCGGGGTGAATGATAAATCCCACAGGGAGTACATTAACAGCATAGTTCGCCAGCACCTCGAGCTCCATCTGCAGACCGCGCTTCATTGCAGCTGTTTGTTTTGTGAACCCCCTGATCATCCTAGCTGCATGTGCTGTGGCTACAGACTCCTCCTCAGCACTTCCTTTACAAGCATCCCGGAAACGGCTAGGTGTAAGCCTTGGCTGGCGAAGCTGTACCCATGCAGGACATCTGGACTGCTCCCTGGTTGCAGCCTCTATTTTTGAAGACGTATCCAGTGACAGTTGCAGAGACTGAAGATGCCTAAGTTGACCAAGAGTAGGCACAAAACACATGTTTGTAAGACTGTGAAACATCATAGGAAGAGCAGGGAAGTCTGGAACTGTGTGGTGTATAATGATGACGTCGCAGGACTTCTCAGGTGGGCACTGGTAAGACATTGGTGAGCCTCGGGGCACAGGCCCAAATTTGGACGGAACCAGCTCCAAAGTTGAGAGACCTTCTAAAACAAGAGCTATGAGTGTCGGGGATTCCAGCTGGCGTAATTTCTCTCCCGATGCGATGATGTCGGGGTCAGGAAGTGGTCCTACAAACACATGAGTGACAAATCTCAATAACTTATGACAAAGGAAACATTCCAGATATATTTATGTTATATATATATATATATATATATATATATATATATATATATATCATATATATATATATATATATATATATATATATATATATATATATATATATATATATATATATATATATATATATAATATATATATATATATATATATATATATATATATATATATATATATATATATATATATATCATATATATATATATATATATCATATATATATATATATATATATATATCATATATATATATATATATATATATATATATCATATATATATCATATATATATATATATATCATATATATCATATATATATATATATATATATATATATATATATATATATATATATATATATATATATATCATATACATATATATATATATATATATATATATATATATATATATATATAATATATTATATATAATATATATATATATATATGATATATATATCATATGATATATATATATATATATATATATATATCATATATATATATATATATATATATATATATATATATATATATATATATATATCATATGATATATATTATATATAGATAATATATAATATATATAATATAAATTTATATTATATATAAATTATATATAATAAATTATATATACATATATAATTTATATATAAATTATACCTGGGAAAGCTCTGTAGAGTGTAGACTGCAGACATCGTTTCCCCACAGTTTTGGGCTTTCGCACTATGACTTTGCTGGCAGTTTCAGGGTGGATCCCCTCACAAGAAATAAAAACAGAAAAATAGATTTTGTTAACAGGGCATTTATATATATATATATATATATATATATATATACACATATTAGAGATAGCTAGATAGCTTAATTATATTCTTCTTAAAGTAGTTAAGAAAATTGCATACCAAATGATTATGCAATAGAAATGAGTTGAGCAAATTACTTTTTTTATTTATTTACCTGTGTTCTTGGTCTGTGCCATCTTTGTAGATCACTCGTACATGCCAGGGCAGGAGGAACAGCTGGTAGCTGGAGCTGGGAGTAGTGTGCAGTCTGATAAAGAAGTGCAACTACATGGTTGCAAAAACCTTTACCTGCTGCACAACTACAAGAATGAGCCAACAGCTCAGCCTTTTCAGCACCCAGTGAGATCTAAAGCTGAAAAGTAGTTTTAGAACTGACATAGTTATTACTTGTTATAACTTATCTTATAAAGACAGAGATTGTAGTTTAGATTTTCTGCAACAGCAGCAGTACATAGAAAAGCCTATGCTGCAACAGCAGCAGAAGAGAAATACTAACCACCAAACAGAAAGATGCGAGTATAGGCTCTCAGTTTTACTGGAACTGTCCATCCTATGTGAACGTTCTTCAGCTGTCATCTGTCAGCGACTCAAGAACTCAAAGCTGAACAAGCCAACCGGCTTTCTGACTTTCAAACCTGCAGTCTGTGCGGCTCCTCATTTCTCCTCATGGACCTAAAGCATTTAGCTCTGACCACTACCTTTCCCTCGACAATATTTGATACTATAAGTATGCAGAAACAAAGCACAATTTAATGGTTAAGGTACATCTAGCATCATCATGTAAAAACTAACATTTAGCATGTTTGCTTTCATAAATAAGACATGAAAAACACATATCATAATGTTCTAATATAATTGGAAATTCTATACCAGTCTCCATTCAAATGTCGAATAATATAGCACACAAATTAGGCGTCTGTATTACATATTTATGTGCTTCAAGTGTCGTAGCTAGCGTAGCTGTAAGTTGATAAGTCTTACCTTGATAGTCGTGTAAATATCCTTCATGAAAGAATTTATACCCCTTATCCCGTTTATCTGTTTTTGAATTCGCTGCTGCAATTGCTTCCGCAGCAGCGAACAAAAAAGCTGGCAAACAGAGTAGTGTTGGTGAAAATATTAGAGCCATTTCTCCATCATAGACTGTATACAAACAGTGAAAACCGGAAGTGACTCAGCGCTGCGAGGCGGCACTTCCGGTTATCGTGAAAAAGATCTATTGTTCCAATGACGATATGAATGATAAGAAAGAGAGGTGAAGGGTAAAGCCTAGTGTATACTCGCGCAGAGCTTACGGAGGTGACGTGACGTCACTTGCGCAAGGCCCTTACGTTGCCTGCCGCGCAACATCGACATTTTCTAACTACGTAAGGGTCGCCGCAAGGAAGCTCCGCTGTGATTGGTCCGTGTGTGTGTATTGGAAGGAAGCACGGAGCGGCTGCAGGGAATATGGACGAGGCACTATGGAGCAGAGTGCTTCACGCTTTGAAGGAACAGAAGGAAAAGTAGTTTGGGCTCAGAGCCTGATATACGCTGAGATTCTGGACTAGAGTTCTGTTGCATATCTAACATATATATAACTTATAAACTGTGCAGTCGTTTCTTTTGCACTGTTCCTGTCTTTGTTTGAATCGTAGCTTATCTCGTCTATTCCATTCCTCCTGCACTTATAAATTGTTCATGTTTGCCTCAGATATTTACCACTTATTGTTTTGCTGTTTGTGCTGAATCACCCCCACTCGCACAGTTCATTCACATCAGTACAGCAGAACTCAGGAGAACCAGAGCAGCAGCAAGAGGCGACTGCATCATCCCTCTGAGAAAAAGCCTCTTTGGTCAATCCACATTTTTTGTCAAAGCTGCCCATGAATGGAATCGCACCCCCACAACAATTAGAAACATCAACACATATAACTCATTCAAAATATTGGTCATAGAAAATCAAAGCTGTCAGCACTGACTCCTCACCTCTCGCTGCCCCCTGCCGGCCTCTTGTTCTTTGTCTGTGAGTCTGACTTGTCTTTATTGATTGACTGCGGAACCTTCCGCAGTCAACCATTGGTTTTGTATTTCTTTATTCCGTCATTTTTTTTGACACGTTTCACAGCTTTCACATTTTCAACAATTTCCACAAGTTATACATCAAAACGTTCCACATGTTTGGGAGATTATTGCTATTACTTTTGGGACTTCAGCGATTTCCGGTTTTTCCGCAATCGGACAAAAATCTGCATTGAGAATTCTGCAATGCATTTTAATAGGCCCATGCATTTTAATAGGACTTCAGCTCTTTCAGACATTTCTACAGTTTCAATGATTCAACAGTTTCAAGGATTCAACAGTTTCAAGGATTTCAGCAGTTTCAAGATTTCAAGAGTTTCAAGGACTTCAACAGTTTCAAGGACTTCAGCAGTTTCAAGGACTTCAGCAGTTTCAAGGACTTCAGCAGTTTCAAGGACTTCAGCAGTTTCAAGGACTTCAGTGTAATCATGCAACCTAATAGGGATTTTTCCATGTAAACCAGTATAATGCAACTTAATAGGGATTTTTCCATGTAAACCAGTATAATGCAACTTAATAGGGTTTTTTCATGTAAACCAGTATAATGCAACTTAATAGGGTTTTTTTTCATGTAAACCAGTATAATGCAACTTAATGGGGATTTTTCCATGTAAACCAGTATAATGCAACTTAATAGGGGTTTTTTACATGTAAACCAGTATAATGCAACTTAATAGGGTTTTTTCCATGTAAACCAGTATAATGCAACTTAATAGGGTTTTTTCCATGTAAACCAGTACAATGCAACTTAATAGGGATTTTTCCATGTAAACCAGTATAATGCAACTTAATGGGGATTTTTCCATGTAAACCAGTATAATGCAACTTAATGGGGATTTTTCCATGTAAACCAGTATTATGCAACTTAATAGGGATTTTTCCATGTAAACCAGTATAATGCAACTTAATAGGGATTTTTCCATGTAAACCAGTATAATGCAACTTAATAGGGATTTTTCCATGTAAACCAGTATAATGCAACTTAATAGGGATTTTTCCATGTAAACCAGTATAATGCAACTTAATAGGGTTTTTTTCATGTAAACCAGTATAATGCAACTTAATAGGGTTTTTTCCATGTAAACCAGTATAATGCAACTTAATGGGGATTTTTCCATGTAAACCAGTATAATGCAACTTAATAGGGTTTTTACATGTAAACCAGTATAATGCAACTTAATAGGTTTTTTTTTTTACATGTAAACCAGTATAATGGAACTTAATAGGGTTTTTTACATGTAAACCAGTATAATGGAACTTAATAGGGGTTTTTACATGTAAACCAGTATAATGGAACTTAATAGGGGTTTTTACATGTAAACCAGTATAATGCAACTTAATAGGGATTTTTACATGTAAACCAGTATAATGCAACTTAATAGGGATTTTTCCATGTAAACCAGTATAATGCAACTTAATAGGGTTTTTTACATGTAAACCAGTATAATGCAACTTAATGGGGATTTTTCCATGTAAACCAGTATAATGCAACTTAATAGGGG